GGCCGCAGACTGGGCCTGGGCGGCTGCAGCGCGGGGAGGCGTCGGCGCTGCCGCTGGCCCGCGACGGGCGACGGGGCCGGGCGACGAGAGCGCGGCGTCATGTTCTCGCTGAAGCCGCCGCGACCCTCCTTCAGGTCCTACCTCCTGCCGCCAGCCCAGGTACGCACCTCGGGGCTCCGCGCGCCGTCCCGGGGTGTCGGGGGGCCCGGCCGGGGCGCGGAGCCGCCCGAGCCCCGACCCAGCCCCGGCGCGGCGCGCCTCCCGGAGCCCCTGCCCGCGCGCGGCAAACTTGAGAAACTCCGCCGCAGCCATTGCGTGCCCGAAGCGGATCGTCCCAGGCTTGCGGGGGGACGAGCCCCAGGAAAGTGTTCCGAGTTGCCTTCCTGCAGTTAGCTCCTAGCGGGGCGCCGGTCCCCGCCGCGACCACCGTCCCCAGCGCGACCACCAGCTCGGCCGCGGCGTTCGCGCGCGCCTGGTGGAGGAGGTGACTTGTCTGCCACGAACGGGAACCCTTGGAAGCGGCCCCGACTTTCGGATATTTTTATTGTCAGGTTTCCTGGTCGATAAGGAAGGATCCGAAAAAGAACTCGGGTCAGACGTGATTAAGGCATGAACGTTTCAAGTAGGGAGAGAGGTGCCGAGTGTTACCACCTAGTATCTTAAGAGGGGAAAATCTCGGTTTTCATTTAATTTGATAATGTATTTCAGACTGACGATAAGATCAACTCGGAACCGAAGATAAAAAAACTGGAGCCAGTGCTTTTGCCAGGTAATCATTAAAGTTATGTTAAGTACTTAGTAATATATTTTAGTCCAATATTGTTTTACCGACTAGTATTGCCAGCTTAATTTTTATCTTTCGTTTACTTCAGACTATTCCAGTTAAAAATCTAATGACTGAGAGGAGGGAGTTGGTTAGAGGTGATTGATGTTTATGCCTGAAAGTTTACAGCATCATAGAAAGTTGTCAAGAACATCACCGATTTATTTTCCTTTTTTCTTCTGAAATCTTTGTTTTGACGGAAGTATCATTAATTGCTGGAGCAGTGAAAGTACCTTTGCATGTGTTTTGATAGTATGAACAGCAGCTTTTGTGGCGTCTGAGTCTGTACTGATCACAAGGCTTAGTGAACTTTGAATTATCTGGTTGGCAGTTTATTTTGAATGTGTCAGCTCTATTTGCAAATTTGCTTGTTTCAGTTCAGAACAGAATTTTCCCAGCAGAGGCACTATGGACGCTTTGGGTTGGATAATTCTGTGTTGTGAGGGGCTGTCTTAAGTTTAACAGCATCCCCATCTCCTACTTGTTGGTTGCCAGTAGTACTGCATTCCCTAAAACCAATTTCCACACCCAAAACGTCTCCAGGCATTCCCACGTCTCTATGTGTACATACATGCACAGACCTTAGGGGAGACAAAATCTCTTCCAGGTTGATAAGCACTGTTGATTCAAATAAAATTTACCTGCAAGGCATGATGGTGTGCACCTGTAATCCCAGCACTTAGGAGGCTGAGGCAGGAGGATCACAGTAAGTTCAAGGCCAGCCTGAGCTACATAGTGAGTTCCTGTCTCAAAACAAACAAACAAATTTTACCTCAGAGGACCTCAGAGATAACAAAGGATTGCTGGTAGACAGGAGTTTCCTTTTAGAGCACACAAAAAAATCATTTGATTCATACTTTGAAGTGTGTAACAGTGGTGCAATGATTAGGGAAAGTCATTTTTTAATATGATTGTGGGGGAAGTAGTTGCACTGGAAAGCCTATTTTAAATCTAAAATATCAAGTATGAGTTTCTGTGGACACTATCAACATTTTAAAATATCAGTAATTTCTTAAAGCCAATTTTAGTGAAATAGGTAGAATTTTAAAGGTAGTAACTAAACAAATTTAGAAACATAAACAATTATTTAATTTTTAAAAAGTTTTTAATAGGGATGTACACATTATAAACTTTGCTCAGGGGGCCAGGGAGCTAGCTCAGTGGATTAAGTGCCTGCCTGGCAAGCACAGGGACCTGGGTTTAAACCTGGCACTGCATGCTGCCCTGACCTCCCTCTGGTTTGCTGAGCTGGCCACCAAGCTGGCCCCCGAAACCAAGCGTGGTGGCGCACACTTGTAATCCCAGCCCTGGGAAACAGGAAGCATCAGTATGAGTCTGAGCTGTATAGTGATACCCTTTACCAAATACATAAACAACAAAAACCAAAAACAAAGAAACATTTTGCTTAGGGTTAGAATATAGGTTAGATACAGTATGGGTTTTATGTTTTTTAAAACTTTATTGTGGGAGTTAACATAGATGTTTACCCTTGCTCATGTTAACACCTTTCATCCAAATAGTGTATTGATTCACCCTCTAGTTTTCCTCAGGGTGGACAGTGTGATTACTGAGTAGACCTGGCTTCCTGGGTGTACGCTATTTTAGCCACTCCACTAGTACTCGCAAGTATTAGTGCCTGTGAGCTGTGGAACTGTGGCCGTCTTTACTTTGAAAAAGCCTGCTGGTGAGGCATTCATTCCCACCTCCTGACGCTCTGCTTTGATGCTCATAAACAACACTGCCTTAGCTACAAATACTCCTGATATTTTAATACTACCTTTTGCATCTAAAAGAGGTTACTGAAAAATGTTACTAATTATCAATAAGCTTGAAGAACTTTCTTGGTAAAGGGTTACCTCTTTAAAAATGCTAAAAACTCACTCTCTAAAGTCAGTTTCGTGGGGCAGATTTTAAGCCTAGTTGCTGACTTGAAGTGATTTACTAGTACTAATGGTACCAGTAGCAGGTGAATCTGGGTCTTTTAGTTGCCTGTTAAAGTGCTCTCTGATCTTTGTTAGCTTTCTAGTGAAAATATGTGCATGTGTACGTCTTGGTTCTGTCACCCAGCAGTCTGTTTATTCCTGACTTGTCCTTACAGAACACTGAGCCGATCTGAATTATAGCATGTTTCGCCCCCTTCCTGACTTAGTCTGTTATTACCTTCTCCTGCTGGCCTTCCTGTACTTCCCTGGCTGTGTTCAGTCTGGCTGCCCCGTTGTTATTTTGACTTCCTAGTTCACCTCACCTGTCACCTTGTGACTACCTCTAGGACCTCTGTTGCTTCCTACTCTGCCACCTCGTCTTCTACCCATGAAATCTGGGAGCCAGCTGAGGTGTTAGTGACCTACAGACCTAAACTAGAGTGGCCAGTGTTACGGCCCTGGTCTTGATGCCTAGCACCACAAATAAAACAAAACTGCAAAGACCTAGGCCACTTTTACCATGGATGATTGAATAATACTGTGCTCGTCCTCACTACAGTTAGGAATCACAAGGAAACTTGGCCAAGTCACCTGTGGCTTTACCCAGGCACATGGAACAAGAAGTAATTGTTCAGAGGTATAGCATTGCATGCTATGCTTTGGCATAGTGCCTTGCTTCCAAGGGTATCCTACTTCAGTTGCCCGAAGTTTGAACTTTTTAATTCAATAAGCAGATGAAATTGGAACACAAAATCAATTGTTTATTTGTGTGCGGTCACTTTGTGCTCTATTAGAATTGAACAAGGCTAAATTTTAAATAATCCTCATCTTTTATTGAGGAAAATTAAAGAAAATGACCAGTAATTTTAGATTTTTGGTGTGTGCTAGTGATTTTCAACTTTTCTGGTTCACAGAAGTCCTGTAATTCAACTCTGTAGTCCTGGTGTCTAATGTAGTACATGAAGTATGATAGGCCCTGAGGTATTTATTGAGTGACTGAGTGAAGGAATTTCTCAGACCCCCTGCTTAAACTCTACCTTGATCATACACATGCACAGAGCACGAAAGAGAAATGCCCAGATTTAGAAGAGGAAGCCTTATTTCATTTCAAACATCTCAAGAGAATTATAGTTGCTAGGTGGGGCTGGGGAGACAGCTCAGCAATCTAAGCCTGTGCCTGGCAAACTCAAGGACACAGATTTGTTTCCCCGATCCCATATGCTGTGCTGGCTCTAGAACCTGGGGTCTGCTGTGACGGCCCCAAACTAAGCGTGTTCACACATGCCTATAATCCCAGCACTGGGGATGCTGAGACAGGAGGATCACTACAAGTCTGAGCTGCATAGTGAGACCCTGTACCAGATAGGTAGGTAGATAGATAAATTTTTTAAAAATCTGCTGTTTTTGGCAGCACACACTTACGTTCCCAGCACTTGGGAGACAGCCTGGGCTATCTAGTGAGTTTAAGGCCAGACTGGATTACATAAACTTTGCCTCCTAAGAAAAATGAAAAAAAGTATCTTTTCTCTTCATTCTCCCATCTTATATGAGTGTTGTTATTTTTATGACTGCATTTATATTTATATAAAGTATTCCAATATTTTTTTTTGAAAATCGAACATGAATTCTATCTATCTATCTATCTATCTATCTATCTGTCTATTTATGTGGTACCAGGATTGAACTCAGGACCTTGAGTTGGCCAGGCAGGAGCTTATGCCACCGAGCTATCTCCCAGCCCTTAGAATGTAAATTTTAATGTGTGTATGTGTATACATGTGTCATGTTTATTTGCAAGCATAAATAAAAGCATTTGATACCAGACTGTGCTCACATATTTTTTTGATAAATTGTGACCATCCCCAGAGTACCAGCTTCTGTGTAGATGGGGACAGTGCTGGAGGTGTGCAGCACCTTCATCACCTAGGGCCCAGAGAGGGCCCTAGGCTGCCTGTGGACTCAGAGCAGACTGTGGTTCCCAGATCCCATCTAGGCCCAGGCATCAGATCTAGGTGATATTTTTGCCAGCCCTTATTCAAAATGAGAAAATTACGAAGAATGTAGCCTTCTGTCATAAAGCAAAGTTTGAATTAATGTCTTTTATTCTGGAATTACATCCTTCTAACTTCTTTAGTATAAGTGTATTCTTTTATTAAATATGGTGATAGTGGTTGTGACTTCAGGCAAGTTTTTAAGTTGGCAAAATACCAGATTAAAAACTCTATATTGACCCCTATATTATTTTTGGATACTAAACTGGAAACCACTGGATGAAATAACTATAGATAAGATTTAATGGCCACTTGTTATTTTGTCTGTCCAGGAATCCTTCCACTATCTTCCAAAACAATGCATCCTCCCTCTTTTGCCAGTTGTTATAATCCAGTTCTACCTACACTTGGTGTGGCCAAGAGGGATAATTTCCCCTCCCCCAAGCCTGCAAGCATGTGCTCAGGTGTACCTCTGGATGTTTTCAAGTTGGTGCTAAGGGAAAGCATCCTCTTTTGGTCATGCTGCCAGAGGCCACAATTCTAGAAAACCTGTCAGAGAGAATGAGAAATTCCAAAGAAGTGTACTGATACGTAAGTCTCTTAGTTTTGTTATCTTTGAGGCCTGTGTAGCTAACACAAAAGCCAGTCATTTTTCTGAGAGCTGGTTCCAGATGTGTTCCTGACACATAAGATCCTTTGCTTAATATGGTTTATAGGTTAATCCTTGTAACATTCCACTAAGAAGTGAGGCAACAATTTATCTTCATTTGGCAGATGAGAAAACTAGTTTGTAGAGGCTGAGTAACTTGTTCAGTGTTGCAGAGCTGGGAGGTAGAGCCATGCTGCTGTGCCTATCTCCCTGGCTGAACCTTTAACCACTAAGCAGTAGAACCTGCCTGGCTGTTCTGGTGACTTTAGTGTCTAGACTTATGCTTTGGAACTGTTGGATGGTAGGTTGGATGTCACCTTGGAATTATCTAGTGAAGTAAAATTTTTAAAAAGTGGCATTGGCTCTGCCCTTTTCACAGCCTTG